GTAGCTGAGCCGCGGCAAGAGTGGGGCCATTGTGTAGGTTCTATTCGCGCTAACTTCTCGAGACATTTTTGTCGATTAGATTCAACGACGTCCGTCAATAGATCGAACAAGGATAGAAGAATGAGAGAAGGAAAGGGAAAAGAAAGGGAGAAAGCGCTCCATGATTACCATAGCTCTTGCCGCGGCTCAACTGCGATCGATTTTGTCGCGCGACAAAATCGCACGACAGTCGATTAGGACACGGCCTAAGGTTTTGCTCCTATGCAATTGAAAAGTACGCAATCTAACACGTGCGATAGTACTTATTTTTGCGAAACTACTCTTTAATAGTTTGCGAAGTACTTTTTGGAATTTACCAATGCTATCTAAATTAATTTTCGTCGACACCTCGCTTTCAGAATTAATTTCATTTTTCATCGGTGAAAATCCTTATCGTCCATATCTGGGTGACGTCAACGTGTCAATGGTTGAAGAAAGTTTTCAGAAATTTGAAAATTGAATTCCACACGATCGATTGAAAAATAGACAATCGCTTGTACTACTTCCAACGATTTTAATACAATTTTTAACGAGGTGAATACGGGCTATTTCGACGTGGGTCACAACTGACCCATAGGGAAAATTGTTTCGCGAAATCCACCAGAGAATTTCTAGTGGATCAACTTTTTTAACCGACTTCGAAAAGAAGAAGGTTACTCGAATCGACGTGTATTATTACTTTTTTTTTTTAAGTTCTAAACTTTTAAATTTCTAGCGGATTAACTTTTTAATGTTTTAATCTTCTATATTTTTAATAAATTTCGCGTCGTGGCACCATCCTTAATTCCTTACTTCTAATAACTATTTTTCCAAAAGCTATCCCTTTGCGAACGATTGATTAATTTTAAGTAACAAGGCGCGAATCCAGCGTTTCAGGTTAGAACCAACACGGTTTCAGTCCCGTCTCTGATCGAATCGAATTACTTACTCGGAAATATGAAATCGATCGAGAGTATCTCGGTGGGGCAGCCATTCCCAAGGCTCCGGGATCGAAAGTGATAAATAACGTCAGCTTTGTTCCGCAAACACGGTCGCGTGGACACGTTTTCAAGCTGGTAATAAATTTATAGACACAGCCAGTCCCGCGAGTACTCGCAGCCTCGACATTTGTTCAAAGTACTTTTTTTTTTTTAAAATCTCACTTTTTTCGAAAATTTCATTCGATAATTTCTCGGGGACATCGGTAGTATTACACTTTGAAATTAATTCTGTGCCTTTACATTCGATCGTCATTCATTATTCATTTATATTGCTTTGTTTGTTAACACTAGTTTAGGTAAAAATATCAAAGTTCGTTAATTGGTAGAATTTGGTAGCTATGAAATTTCGTTTATTATTATTCTTCTAACAGATTAGAAGTACGACAAGTGTTTATAATATTAGGAGGACCAGAAAGTAATGTCGTTTCCTTTACGTTAAATTCCAACAAATAAATTCATAACAAGTTTTTATTTTTAATCAATCATGTTCGCACTCTTTACCAACAACCTTTTGCTATCTATTGGGCAAATTTTCAATCTCTGATCGATAAAAAATCAATTGGTACACAATGGCCTTATAAATTATAAACAAGTATTGACATTTGCAGAAACGACATTACTTCCTGGACTCCCTAATAATTATACAATATGGAAATTATTCCACGTAATGTCCACCACTATAGTACGCATTGAATCGAGGAATCGGAAGGTTGTGCCAGCATTACGAATATATTTAAAGCAAAGTTAGAAACGATCGAATAGAGAGAGGCGCGGAATTAATTTCTTCGATTTATTGCATATGTATTACGAAACATCAAATTATTAATGGCATCCTGCGATTACGTCTTTCGTGTCATTTCCAATGCATAGCAAACGCTACCGAGGAGGCTCCGTAGTTATTATGTGTGCGAAGTTAGCCTCGCGCTTTTCGAATTTTTCATTTTTTTCAATTGTGCTACATCGTGCCACGTTTGTGCCGTAAACCGCAACTCTGTAAGTCAAAGCGTACCCAAGAAAACAGAACAGAAACAAAATTTTCGATAGCCCGCACTTTTCATATTTTCGGTATTTCTTTTCTATCGCCGTACTGTGCTTTATTTGTGGCGAATTGTGCCGTGAATGAGAGACCGATAACGTCAATAACAATTCAGAAAAGAAACGAAACGAAAATTATACTAGCCCCGTACTTTTGTCGAAACAAACTTTTTTCTCTATAGGAAGATGCGTTCTAACTTGTGCTACATTGTGCCATTGATAGCTTGCTACTTATCAGTCGGTATACAGGGTGTCCCAAAAGTCGGGGAGGAGCCGGAAATGGGGGGTAGCTGAGACGATTCTGAACAACAATTTCCTTTGCAAAAATGTCGGATGCGGCTTCGTTAAGGAGATATTAAGAGAAAACCCCGACCAATCAGAGCGCGCGTAGACCGTTGGAGCGGCCGCGGTAGCGAAGGCTACGCGCTAGGCGGCCGCGTCAATGTCCTTCGCTGCACGTCGAGTCACTTGTTCGCGTACAAGCGCGGCCGCCAACGCGTAGCCTTCGCTACCGCGGCCGCTCCAACGGTCTACGCGCGCTCTGATTGGTCAGTGTTTTCCGTTAATATCTCCTTAACGAAGCCCCACCCGACATTTTTGCAAAGGAAATTGTCGTTCAGAATCGTCCCAGCTACCCCCCCATTTCCGGCTCCTCCCCGACTTTTGCGACACCCTGTATGTATTCGTTTGGCGGATAAAAAAAATGTTGAATTTTAAGGGATAACAAATTGAATTTCAATAAATGTTCGGACAATTTGCGAACGGCGACAGATAATCGAATTCTGCAAGTTGTGGTAAATTGTGCTACTTACGATACACGAGACACGTGCGTTAAAAATTGAGATTACCTCGATGGTCAACGAAAATGAACACAAAAAAGGTGAGGGTGATTACAAATTTTGATATTTCCGAATTTTCTTTAATCGTGCCGGATCGTGCTAGATTAGCACAACTTTTCCTGATTACAAAATCTCGTCGGATCGCCAGATTTCGCAGCGTTGGCAAAGTTAGGAATCAGACGTTAGGAATTCGCATTCGCATTCGAATCACGTGTAGCGTAGTACAGTAACGCCTCCGTAAATGCACAAGTTCGGGACTGATAGTGTGCATTTATCATAGAGTTCCCACATTATTTGATCTTTGCCGGCAGCTTCGAACGTAGATAAGGACGGCGAATAACAAAAGAGGACGGTACGAGACAATACTAATGCTAGTATGACATTTTTATCGACAGATTTATCTTTCTGAATAAAATGAGACGAAACGTGATATAATTTGGGTTATATTTACCATGCATGTTTTTTTAGTTACTGTTGATACATGATAAGTTGTTACAAGTAAACATGTTCCCAATTATGTCGTGTTTGATTTCAAAAGTGTGCGGATATAGTAATTGTCGATATATTAGACTCCATTGTTTTGTCATTGAATTTTTAGTGTGTAACACGTGTTGTCTTTTCCACAACCCTCAGACCCAATCCTATTACAAAATATATTTTCTTATATAACCAATCATTACAGTTGAGAAATACACGTTTTCAATACACATATTCGCCAAATATTCCGATTCCTAACTTTGCCAACGCTGCGAAATCTGGCGATCCGACGAGATTTTGTAATCAGGAAAAGTTGTGCTAATCTAGCACGATCCGGCACGATTAAAGAAAATTCGGAAATATCAAAATTTGTAATCACTCTCACCTTTTTTGTGTTAATTTTTCTTCACCATCGAGGTAATCTCAATTTTTAACGCACGTGTCTCGTGTATCGTAAGTAGCACAATTCATCATAACTTGCGGAATTCGATTATCTGTCGCCGTTCGCAAATTGTCCGAACATTTGTTGAAATTCAATTTGTTATTCCTTAAAATTCAACATTTTTTTTATCCGCCAAACGAATACATACAGGGTGTCCGAAAAGTCGGGGAGGAGCCGGAAATGGGGGGTAGCTGGGACGATTTTGAACGACAATTTCCTTTGCAAAAATGTCGGGTGGGGCTTCGTTAAGAAGATATTAACGGAAAACACTGACCAATCAGAGCGCGCGTAGACCGTTGGAGCGGCCGCGGTAGCGAAGGCTACGCGCTGGCGGCCGCGCTAGTACGCGAACAAGTGACTCGACGTGCATCGAAGGACATTGACGCTGCCGCCTAG